ATACCTTAACTTTACTTCAATAAAAGAGATTTATCTATATCTTAGTATTAGGCTTACTCTATTGACTTCTTTTTTCTGTGGAAAAACTATAACTTTCATTATCTACATGTACATACTTTCATTATCTACATAATTGAGATAACTTTCATTATCTACATCATTGAGATAGCATTTAAAGATAAGTACTATTATATCATGGTATATTTTAATTCCTCGCATTTGCAAGATATTCAATGAAATATTATCTAATAACCAATACCCAGTATCGTGGAATGAATCCTATATTGTACCAATTTACAAGAAAAATGACCCTCGAGTACCAGGTAACTATCGTGGCATATTTATTTCGGAATGCTTATCGAAAATTTTCTCCAATGTGCTATATAATCGCCTTTATACATTTGTCAAATCAAATAATATTATTTCACAAAACCAGGCAGGTTTTATGAAGAAAGCAAGAACGACCGACCATATATTTATAATTCGGTCTCTTATTGACAAACATGTTCATCAAAATAAATGTAATTTTTATGCCTGCTTTGTGGACCTAAAGAAGGCATTTGATTCGATATGGCACACAGGCCTTATGTATAAGTTACAAAAGTCAGGAATTAAAGGGCACTTCTACAAAATCATAAAAACCATGTATGAAAATGCCACGGCGTGTGTAAAACTTAATCACTCAACTTATACGGAATCGTTTTCATGTGCTAGGGGTGTAAAACAAGGAGACTCGCTCAGTCCATTATTATTTAACATATATATAAATGATATTATAAAAAAGTTTGATAATGTTGGGAAATCTCCATTCCTTGAAACTCAACATGTTAGCAGTTTGCTATTCGCAGACGATTTAGTCATATTTGATACTAGTAAAGAAGGAATGCAGCTAAAACTAAACACTCTTGAATCCTTCTGTGATGACTGGAAACTTGAAATTAACATTGACAAAACAAAAATTATGAAATTCTGGAAATGTGGCAAAGTTTGTCAAGAACGATTTCAAATAAATGGTAAGATTATACAAAATGTTCAAAGGTATACATATTTGGGAATTATCTTAAGTGCTTCGGGATCTTTTAAACCGGCCCAGCAAAACATAAAGGAAAAAGCAAATAAAGCCATGTTTAAAGTTTATCAATTGACAAGCGGCACAGAGATGAAGTCTTCACTGAAAATGAAATTGTATGATCAACTTATCAAACCCGTTGCTTTATACGGGTCGGAAATATGGTGTACTGATATATATACCAAGCGTGACTGCCTAACAAATAGAGATATTGAACATAAATACGAAAGTGCTTTAATTGAAAACAATCATATTCGGTTCCAAAAATATGTTCTCGGAGTTCATAGAAAAGCCACAAACATGGCAGTAAGAGGAGAATTGGGAAGAATACCTTTGGTAGTCGATATTATAAAAAGACAAATCAAATACCTCGGTCATTTAGAGTTGAGTGCAAATGGGAGTTTACTAAACGATTCATTAATTATGAGTAAAACATTTGTTTTAACAAATAACACATTTACATGGCACAAACAACTCAAAAATATACTGTGCCATATTAAAATAAAAATGTCTGATGAATTGAATCTTGAAGATAAGGTAAACATAGAGAAGAGCACAAATAGGCTTGCTATTAAAGTCAAAAAGAAATTAATAGAGAGATATCAAGTATATTGGAAGAATCTGATAAGTGGGAATGGGGGGAAACTTAGATTATTTAAACAACTAAAATCGCACTTTGGGTTTGAACTCTACCTTTCAGAAACGAGACTTTCAAACGCTAAACATTTAACTAGATTACGTATAAGCGCCCACAATCTAGAGATAGAGAGAGGCCGATATACAAAACCAATTACTGATCTTAATAGTCGATTTTGTAAAATATGTAAGGACTCGGTTATAGAAGATGAAACACACTTTTTATTCAAATGTAAAAAATTGGAGTTTATCAGAAAATCCCATATTGAAAAACTTGAAAACCTGTGTAGTAATTTTAAAAACATGAATGATCACCAAAAGACAATTTTTCTATTGACGAGTGAGGGGATCATATTAAAAGAAGCTGCTGACATGATAAAGTATCTAATGATTGGTAGAGACAGGATTCTTATATCAAAGTAACATTTTATATATGTCATTTGAAGAATGTAATCCTATTTTCTTTACTTTATTGCTATATTTACTGTTATTGAAAATTGTATATCGGATGTACGTTTGGCCCTAAAAGGGCATCAGTACTAATAAAATCCTATATCTATATATAAGCTTGTCAAGAAATGGACATTTGATTTGGCGTTGAAATGGATTTGAGTTGCAGGAGTTGAATTTGCCTGGGTTGAGCAATAAGCTCGGATAGTATTAAAAGCATGTAGACTCCGTGGCGCAATGGATAGCGCGTTGGACTTCTAGTGGTTATTACAAGTAATTCAAAGGTTGTGGGTTCGAGTCCCACCGGAGTTGTATATTTTGTCAGTCCATCTGGAGAATTTTTCAAAACAACACACCGACCAGTTTTCCTCTCTTGGGACAGAATGGATAAACTGAGAAAATTGGTAGATTTTTAACGTCACATTTCCCGTGTAAGAATACCTGTAAAAAAGTAAAAATACAAAATAGTCCTTCATCATTATAATAGATGTGTTACAATATCATGGGCGTAGCCAGGGGGGGGGGGTGCGATGGGTGCGATCGCACCCCCCCCCCCATAACCTTTGAAAATATGACCATTGGATAGAGGTAGAAAAAAGCTTTAAAATGCTTTTTATTTGAAGCTTCTAGCTCAATTTTGAAGGAAGTTGCATCAATTTTTGTAAAAGAACTCTTAATTTTTTGTGTTGCTTATGGCAAAATCGCACCCCCCCCCTGACCGAAAACTGAAAAATTTTCGGCGATCGCACCCCCCCCCCTGACTGAAAGCTGGCTACGCCCCTGCAATATCATACATAACTTGGAAATGTTTTTAGAATACTACTTTGAGCACTGTCATCTTGGAGCTGCACATTTAAAATAGGCAAGACAAAAAATGATAGACTGGATATTTTTCCTATTAATTGTATTTTTTTGAGACCAACAAAGATATCGACCAATAATGCCTTGGTCACATATGCTCCGATTTTCACTACGGCGCCCGGCCGATTGAGTATTTTGTTCAAAATTGAATACAATATTGAACAAAACACTCAGTCGGGCGGGCGCCGGCCGATGGATCGGAGTATATGTGACCCAGGCATAACGTAATAATAAGGATAGTAGACTATCCATTGCTGTACAGAAATCCGAACAAGAATTTGTATACATTTTGAACAACTTAACTTGTCCATAAATCATGAACTTTCTATTATAAGTGAATGGTTCAAATGCAACAAGCCTTCTCTTAACCCTTCTGAAATTAATTATCTTGTTTCTAAATCTCCTCAAAAAGTCACTGATTATGACAAAAATCCATGAACAACACTGTCTTGCAAAGGACTGATGTTAGTAATTTTCTTGGAGTTCTAACACATGAACATCTCTCTTGGAAATATTGAAACAAAAATTCTAAGACTCTAGCAACCACTTCATAGAGTGAAACATAACTTAGATTACAAAGCTACAGGATTCATTTGTAAACTACTTAAACAGCGAATCCTGCATGAATTCTGGAGGCAGGAAAATAATATTAATCTGGGGAAATGTTCCACCTTCATATATTATGAAAATCCATGATTACAAATGCATGCAATTTATTAGAATACTTTTTTTAATAATTGCAAACCTAGAGATAACACAGCTCAGTATTTTAAAGTTGCTGGCATATATTTCCAATATTTTCCAAGTTGTTATTTAGTTCAAATAGAGTCATACACCAACCCCTGACAAGACAACAGTTTTTTTAACCTTAGACCTGCTTTTGGGCGGTTTTCTATAAGCAAACAGGGTCCGGATACCTGGAATATTCTTACAGATGACCTGATCTTCATAAATTCACCATCTAAATTCAAAAATAGATTGAAAAGGGAATTGTTGTCATGATGCCATTTATAAGGTAGTATATGCCATGACATAATTTATTTAACATTTAGTGTGATTTTTGTTATCTTGAATTTGCTGATATAGGTTATCTCCATTCTGGCACAAAGTAATTCCTATTTTGAAAATCCTCACCATAGGGACAGACAGGCTTCAGAGAGGGGGGGGGGGGGGGTAGGGTTGATGACTATAATCAAAAGGGGCTCTTCCACTTCATGTAATGTTTGTTATAGGTATAATATTCTTTAAAGAAATATATAAGTAAATAATCATCGGGTACCCCTGATATTTTATCTTAGTGGGTTAAAGACGCCAAAAAATCAGTGTCATGGCCACCTCATTGACCTGTCATTTTTGATATCTTCATCAGCTTAAAAACTGACCTCGAAAAATAGATCTGTTAATTTTTACTAACAAATGCCTCAAAAACCATTTTCCTTCGGGATATATTAAAACTGGCACTTGTTTAAACTGGTTGAAATTGCAAAAGTAGATTGGTGTCCAAATGTGATAATAAATAGTCAAGTCAACAGTAAAGTCAACATACAATTGTTTTAAGGAGTGGGACCGGGTGAGACGATAAGTACAATTGTTTAAATCATGAAACTGTACCTAAATTATCAAACAGATTAATAATTTATCCAAATGCTTTACGCATTGGCCTTTGGACTCGATCGTAGAGCTCATGAACATTCAAGTTGTTGATATATGATAATAGCTTATATATATATAGCTTTACGGTCAATATATAGGGAGGGCTATATATTTAGCTCACTGTTTGGACCAAAAGTAAACGAGTCATTGATTTGCTTTTAAGTGAGATTTTCCATTGTGAAAAATAATAGAATTTTTAAGAGGCCATATATTGGTGAATGAGAGCATGCAAAATGTAAAATATAAACATTTTAGGGGATACGTATAGGCAAAATAATATTGGAAACTATGGAAACCAGCATGGTTTGTAAATGGTGATCGACTTGTGGTATATTTATGGTCCAAACTGTAAATGTCCAGTTGATTCATAGTCAGTCGTATACCACCAGTTGATTCACGATCAGTCGTATACCACCAGTTGATCATGATTCACGGTCAGTCGTAAGCCAACGTAGCTATTCAGTCGAGGATATATAAAATATTTGAAAAATATCAGAACCCAGGAGAACAAATGGGGGACTGAGAGGTAAGTTGCAGGCATGGAGGGTTCTACCTAAGACTGCAATACGGAATGCACTTTAGGACTGCATGTCAATTGACTACATTCATACTATTGCCAAAGCACTAGCTGCTCTTGCTTGATCAAAACAGACACTCATCAATGATTATGGTCATTTACACAGACTACATCTATATCTAGAGAGTTCTATATTTTAGTTGAATATACTTTTCAAACTTATATATATATACAGTCTGTTACACTGCTTCAAAGGCAAAAAGCAGTTGAACATGAAAATTAAAGAAATCCAAAGACTATTATGCCTAATAGAAAAACTGATATATTCATATTGCACACGAATGACATTTGTATATTTCAGATTATTTATGTGGCTTATAACCTTGTTTATTTTTTTGTGAAGCCACTCAGTAAAATTACAATTTCTCTGCACCATGATGTCCAATCAAGATCATTGAAGTATCTATGTGTTCCTGACACGTTTGGGCATCCGGGATGGACAATGTCTACCCTAAGTTTGCACGCTATATTGACGTAATTCATGGCTGATATCGGGAAGACAAAATTTGAGATACGCAAACAAAATTGCCTGTGAAAACTATTTACAAAAGTGTTCCAGAGACTCTAATCTACCCATCGTATACTATCTAATCGCCCATACATTTAATTTTTCTGTATTTGCCTCCGCAGTCCATCATCATACTTAAACACATTCTCAAAATTCATTTCGCACGTTGCGTACCTTCACAAAAGGTTCGGAGATTGACCCGGGGAGATTGACTTAAACATTCAACATACAACATGGCCAGTACTAATTTTTAGATGTACGATCTAGTACAAAAGTATATGATGGATTATTTTAGGTTTAAATAACTACCTGGGATCATGGGTGCACATGCTAGGATGGTCCTTAATTACTAAATAGTTTTGTTCACAGCATTGATGATGGTATATATATTGAATGCTTTAACCGAAAGGTATTATGGGAAGCACCTTTCATTTTTGCGCATGCGTAAAAGTGAACCGAATCAGTTAAAGATTGCTATAGAACTGAACCGAATCAAATGCAGATTGCCCTACTCCACGTAGTTTAATATATAGGTCCAGTGTCATTGTGGGATCCAAAAGCGTTAGGTAAAGAGGGACTCTGATAAATCAGAATGGTCCGGTGTTAATATATGGGGATTAGATGTACTTTAGTTGTTTACATGAACGTACATGAAATCTGCAGTCTTCCGGGTTTTCTCTGTTCTCTGGGTTTGTATTGTCTCATTGGGGGTTTCTGACTTTAAAATAAACCCTTACCTAAATGGATTTGTGTCTCGGGAATATTGTTGTAAATAGTTTTTATAAGCAATTCTGAAAGAATATTACACCTTTTTGTTTTCCCGATTTCAATCATGAATTACGTCAATGTGGCGTGCAAACTTTGGGTAGACGTTGCCCTTCCTTGGTTGTCCAAACCTGTCAGGAACACGTAGGTACTCGAATGATCTTGATTGGACATAAGGATGCAGAGAAATCGTAATTTTAGTGAGTGGCTTCATGAAAAAATAAAAGGGTTATAGGCCACCCTGGTGTTAGTGCAAAAAGCTGTGCCCTCTTGTTTGAGGCCTATTCGTCATGTGATTTTTTCAGAATTAACGTGGCTTATAACCCTGTTTATTTTTTCCTGAAGCCACTCAGTAAAATTACGATTTCTCTGCACCCTGATGTCCAATCAAGATCATTCGAGTACAGTATCTATGTGTTCCTGACACGTCTGGACATCCGAGAATCACAACGTCTACCCAAAGTTTGCACGCCATATTGACGTAATTCATGACTGAAATCCGGAAAACAAAAAGGTGTCATGTTCTTTCAGAATTGCTTATAAAAACTATTTACAACAATGTTCCAGAGACACAAATCTATTAAGGTAAGGGTTTGTTTTAAAGTCAGAAACCCCCAATGAGACAATACAAACCCAGAGAAAACCCGGAAGACTGCAGATTTCATGCTATGTTTTGGTTTTACGTTCATGTAAACAACAAAAGTACATCTAATCCCCATATACTTGTATTAACACTGGACCTATATACCTATACCAAAAAAAGATAGACTATCTACTTTGCTAAGGTTTTATTTGAAGATCCATTGCCTTATTAAGGCAGGGTTCTGCAATTTTTTTACCGATTGTAATAAAGAGATTAAAGTAATATAGAGAATAGAGTCAAGGTACATATCCATTTACATTATCAGTTTTTTTTCGTTTTGGGCTTAGAAAATAAAGTTTAAAGATACTTAAGGTTTAACATGTAGACCTATGAAGAAAACTACTGGTCCTTAACTTTTTTGAGGAGTATATTTTTCTTGTATTATTGCACAATAGTCTTTAGATTTCTTATTCTTCATGTTCAACTGCTTGCTTTTGAAGCAGTGTAACAGACTGTACCTTTTATTGATACTTCTAGAAGTCCAACATATTGAGCATTTAGCAACTGAGCATACTGGCACATCATGTTGGCGATACTGACTGCATTGACAGTGGTACTTCTCTTTTGGTTTATGTGGAGAAGACCACGCAGTAAATTGCCACACATCCCAGGTCCTAGTGGAGTACCCATAGCTGGAAACGTCTTTGAAATATCGAGCACTTTCAAATTGGTGCAAAAACTGCATGAATGGATGATGGAATATGGCGAGATCTTCAAGATTAATCTTTTGGGAAAAGAGATTGTCGTCGTGAGTGGATCACTGATCGGGGAAATGTTGGTCACAAAAGGTAAGTACATGTAGTTCCTCTATATTTAAGGAATTTTCATGATTTTTAGGTGTAGATTTGAGATTTTGAGATATCAAAATTTCCGTCCAGGTATGCTGTCAACGAAACCGTCAAAAAATATTCAAAACACAGTTTTCTGAAATTGTTTGACCCATTTTTGGATAGTTTTCACATATGTTATCAATAATATGTCACCTACCCATTTTTCTGAAATAATTTTATCAAATTTGATAAACTGACTCGCTTAGTGGGTTAATTTTAGAGAATACAAATTTGCTAATTTACATTTTTAAATGATTCTGTGCCAGAGCACGCCTCCGTGAAAAATTAGATATTTCCTCATTCCCAAGCATACCAATCTTTCTTCCATTGAACACTCCATCTACAAATAAAAAATCACGAAGATCCCTTATAATTAATTATTAAGAATGTTATTCCAAAATAAGTAGGTGGTATTTTTGTCTCATCCTGTACATGCTTACTTCACACAAATCCTCTGATTACTACACCTTCTAACATTTTCATTGGATTTTGTCCGATAATCGAAGACTCTCAATCTTTGGATTATGGATGACGGCTTTGCGAACGGATGTTGACCCTTTGAATTGCCTATGGACTTCGAGACTGGATTTTATCTATCCCACATCATTTGAGACTGAATACTCTATCTTTTATGAGTACTAGTATCTACAACTATTTTTGATGTTATGAGTATTGGCTATCAATTTTTTCAATTTTTCTTCAACATGTATTGTAATGACTTCAGTATGAATGAAATGTCCCTTGGTGTTCTGGTCCTGGATTGTGATATTGGTTCTCGATTGGAGGGGGAGGGGGATGTTAGACATTGTTTCTTTTCACGTTAGATTATGGTTTTGGGATATATAGGGTCTACTTTTCTTATGACAGATTTACACTTACAGTTTGCTTTTCTTGTTGGGTTTCTTTAAAGTTTTTAGTCACCCTTCCCTTTGGCATTTGTGCTTATATATATTTATCCTTTATATTGGAAAGAACACAGATTATTCAGTACATCTTTAGGAAGTGATTTTGCTGACCGGCCTCGAATGCCTGCATCGATTGAAAGCCTTGAGGGAAATGAAGTTCACCTGGCATTAAGGAACTATGACCCCAAGTTACGCTTCATTCGTAAGCTTGTCCACAAAGGTCTTCGTCAATATGGAGAAGGGATGGACAAAATTGAAGCCATTACCATGACAGAAATTGCTAAATGTTTAGACAAGATTGAGCAGTTAGGTGGAGCAGATTTTGACCCATTTACATACATTCACCATGCTATAAGTCAAGTAATGAATACCATGGTGAGTTAAAGGGTTATACATAGCAGTACATAGCAGTACTTATCTTTTTTAATTTTTTTTTACATTTTGTATAATCCTCAAAAGTATTTTTCTATTCACCCATTATATTCTTGCTTATTATCCCAACGAATGAAGTTCAGTAGGGATATAGTGAAGCCCTCCGTCCGTAAGTCAGTCCGTCCGTCAGTCCGTCTGCCTGTCTGTCCGGAAGATAACTCGAATACTGGTTGACGGATTTTCTTCATATTTGGAGAAAAGATGTATATCGGTGAATAATTTTACGCCAAAAAATTCTCAAGATGGCGACCTCTTTAAAAATGGCGGGAATTTTTCGCAAAAATCTATGTTTTTTTTTAAACCAAAGTAATGAATATTATAATTACACAAACTTTCAGAACAAAATTCGCATTGAATGAACTAAATAATTCTAAAATTTCAAAGCGAAATATTCAAAATTGAATTATTCAACTTTCTTACGCTCCTGTTTTTTGGACACCCTGTATCTGTATCACATATATTCCGTGTTTTTCATCATGGCCACCAGGGGCCGTGTTGGAAGAACAGAAATGTGCATTAATTTTGAGATGTGTTTGAAGTATAGCTTTACTATACTCAAATGAAAGGTAACTTAAAGTAGATTGCAATTATTGTATCCTTCTTCTGTTTCGGGCCTCGTAAAATTCAAAATGGCCGCCTAATGTGGGATTTCGTAATAAATTTTCTGACCAAGTAGAAGTATGGTATTGTTTTTCTGATTTGTGCCTCACAAAATTCAAAATGGCTGCCTATAGCTGGAATTCGACGACAAGAGTAGATGGTAAATGTTACATTAGTTTTCGTTGGGATTTGCTACTTCGTGGAGTTGCCGATTTCTAGTTCTCATTGATCAAGTTGCAATTTTGTTGGTCATTTCAAGATGTTATGGTATGTAGAACTTCTATGTAACATTGTCTTAACATTCTGTCTTTACAGGTAACAGGAGAGGCAGTACCCGACGGACACCCCATGTTGAATAAAGCGATCGAATTGGACAGACTCGATGGAGAGTTGAGTCAAGATCCAACCATTGTTATGCCTCTAATGGGCAAACTATCACTTTTATTTGGTGTCGGAACGTTTAGCAAATATGCTAGCGCCATGAACTTTTTCATTGAACATTGGAGAAGTTACGAGGTAAAATATATTTTAGTACTTTTTTACAAATCAATTTTTCACATGGTCCAAGAAAATGTAAGCGATTGGGTAAATGAAATGTGATAAATCATGAGAACATAAGAGTGAGTGTGTTACTTGGAACTTAACTTAAATCAATTTTTGTTTTATGAAAAAGTCCATTTAAGAACAGCACCAATCCATGTACAACATTGAGCATTTACAAACTTTTGTCAGAAGTAGGTAAACGTTTTTTATTTACACCGTTTTTATAATAACCTGACTTGAGCAAATCCGATTTTGAAAAAGGGGAAACATTTGCCATATGTCTCAACTGTTCCAGGCGACCTATGATAAGGAGAACATGAGAGGACTTTATGATGTCGTATACAAGGCATATCTTGAATCAGAGACAGATGAAGAGGGAATCAAGATATCATACAAAAATGTGAAGTTCCTCATGTTTGAGCTGTACAGTGCAGGTATGTAAATCAATTCTTACATTTCAATACAACTTCATATGTATACTACTACTTGTTTTGGCCTGTAGTATTATTGTTACTGGATTTAATTGATGAACTGCCATTTTTTTGTTTATTTGAAAAAACTTAAAGCTTAAAAAAGATGAGAATAAATTTCAAACAACACTATCATTTTGACAATTCACATCTGTATAAGGGCAATGAAAACATCAGACAAAATATTGTTATTTTGTGGTTGATTTAGGTATTGCTGTCCAATATTTTGTATCCTCCAAATATTAAGATTTCCCCAGTGCACATAATTGATTTCAAACAATTATTTTCAGAAATGAGACCAACACGATGTAGTATTTAAATGAGTATTACATAAATTCTCAATTATATCTAATTTGTTAGTAAATTGTAAATGTTGAGCATGCGTTGGAGGATACAAAACATATGGACATTATAAAACGTGTTATTTTAATGAGTATAAAATATCAAACAACCCCTTTTGAGAGCTGGTCGGAAACATATTTTATTAACCAGTTAAAAATTATCGACGGACTTGATGCATAATTTGTTATGTTGTCCGAGTTTACATAGCAACATTTGATTTTTGTCAAAAAAATCACCATTAAAGCTGTTTTTAAGATATAGTAAGCATCACGATAGCACACACATAATGTCGTTGATATCAATAGACGTGGCGGAGGATGTGATACAATAGCAGAATTCATGGATTTAAAAAAATATCAATTATCGCAAATTTGCGATTAATATTATGAGTGCATTAATAGATCTAAGTTAGCACGACTAAGATTGAATAATCTTTAAAAACTTGCAAATTGAACCCTCCAAAGACTGTATCACGACCCACGTACGTGAGCACGAGGTACGAGGTTTTTATACAAAGCCCAGATGTGCTGATGCCTTTTAGGCATACCACTCTGCTAAGATAGAATCTTCAGGATGGATGCCAAATTCAAAATGGCCACTATTTTCTGGTGAAATATAATGTCTAATGGAATTTATAATATTGTTTTATTCCACAGAGTGAGTTTAGCTTTTTCCGAAATGAAACAATACTACTTGGGATTTGCTACTCAAGGTGTTCCTGTTTTTCAAGTAAATTATATATGTCCAAAAAGAGACAGTTAATGATTTGGATTGCTATATTTTTCATGTGCTTTCCTGTAGGTATCACCACTACACACAAAGCCATCTATTCATTTGTTCACTTGATGGTGACACACCCCGAGCTACAGAAAAGAATCCAAGCCCAAATTGATGATGTTATTGGTTCCCAGCGAAACCCAACTACAGCAGATAGACACAATCTCCCTCTATTAGAGGCATCGATACATGAATTGTTGAGATTTATATCTCATGTTCCATTCGCTTTTCCCCATCAAACGAATAAAGAGATAAGTCTGGGAGGATTTGTCCTACCGAAGGAGACACAGGTAATATTTTATTCTTATAAAATAAAATTCTAGGTCAAATGCCAGATATAGGCCGGCCTTTAATCATGATTCATCAATTCCGTGGATCTGATGTATTAATGTCAAGAGAGTCTTTTTTGTGATAACATGCTTTACTTACCATTTTTTATTTACCAAACTAAATTCCTAGGTTTGGCCATTCACATCTGGCAACCACCACAACCCTAAGTACTTCAAAGATCCCTCAAGCTTCAACCCTGACAGGTTCCTAGAGAATGATGGCTCTCTTTCATCTGCAAGCTCAAGAAGAATGTAAGTACATTGTCGTCAGTTTTGGGTTCTTATTCTTGCTCGTTTCTAAAAGCTTTAAGTTAAAGGCTCTAGATTTCAATACGTAGTTTCATAGTTCTCAGTCACTCAATACAACAAATGTATACTCAAAGGTCTCGTTTTTAACATCTTGTTTTTGGACAAGAAAAATGAAGAAAAGAAAATGGCATTCTTTCATGTAAATCACTGATGTAAGAACTTCTTCATGGCATTGACAATTATGAGTGTTGAGGTTTAGTAATTATGGTACAAGGGACGATCAACAAATAACGCAGATAGAGCCCTATCTCAGAAACTGGAGTTAGAACACCAAATTCAGGGGCGGATCTGGGAATCAACAAGGGGGGGGGGCCCAAATTTCAAGTCAGAGAAAAAAATTTGGGCCCCTAAAACCCAAAAGTGGGCCCAAATTTTGAAATTTTGAGGCCCATTTTCTTCAAAATTTGGCCTGAAATTAAAAAATAAGGCCTAAAAAGGCCCAGTAATGACCAGAAAGGCCCACTTTTTGGGGCCTGAAGGCCTTTTTTGGCCAACAATTTTTTTGGGCCCAATTTTTTTTTTCTGGGCCCACCCAAGGGGGGGGGGACCCGGGCCCCCAGGCCCCCCCCCCCCTAATCCGCCAGTGAAATTTGATTCATCGTATCACCAAACATTCATTATTATTGTATCAATATTCAATGCTAGAATATATTGCTACTTGTGCACTTCTTGGCATTAACTTTTAATTCTTATCCTTTTGAAGGTTAACACCATTTGGAGCAGGGACCAGGAACTGCATTGGGGAGGTATTTGCCAGGACGAGGCTCTTTTTATTCACTGCTAGCCTGTTACAACGATTCACACTCCTTCAACCTACTGAAGGAAAGCTTAATGATATTGATCCAAGAAGTGAGGATTTTCTCAAAAAGCTCCCTTGTGTTTGCCCAAACTATAAAATCAGAGCAATTCCCAGATGAAATCATTTTTAATGGCACAAAGTATGTGACCAGAGAGAAGTAGTAGATCTATAACGTACAAAAATGAACACACGGCTATCTTTCCTGAGTCCTGCTCTGCTGCTGAAATCAACGAATTCTTTGGGTGGTAGTCCCACCAGTATTCATGCTTAGTATTCATCTGGGCTCATACCCATATTTGCTCATGTTTTTGGCGTATTTTATACAGGTATTTGTCAATAACTATTACTAGTATAGTATATATTTTCATATTGTTATCATTTTCCTATTGTGTATACACGTTGTAGCTTTCAAAATCTAAGATATCTTTATAATCTAAAATGTTGAGATTTACAAATTTTCGATGTATTCATACACCTTCATCAGGTAAACTGATCTTCATACAATTATGAACATTATTGGTCATTATTGTATGAAAATCAGTTTACCTAATGAAGACGTATGAATGGATCGAAAATTTGTAAATCTTAACATTTTGTTTTGTTCTTAACACTTATTAACATATTGCGTTTATAATCTAAAATAATTTTATGTACTCATATTAAAGGTGGAAATAAAAAAAAAACATAAACTTATTCGTACATTGTTGATTCTTTAATACTATTAGCATTTCTTCATCATGAAAACATCGCCTATGCTACACAGATGCCTCTATAGTATCGCTACATTTCAAGATTTTTTCTGAACACAATCTAGAACTTTTTAAATCCTCTAGAATGCATTTTTCACAAAGTCCATCATATTTCCGACATCTTGACCTATATCGTAATTTAATAAGGACTAGATTATCAATAAAATCATAATACGTCATCCAGACACTTCAGTTTCCAAAATGAATGGAAGAATTCAGAGGAATTAGTTTTCGTTGGAAAATTTACAACGTGAAGATCTGCTTTTATTGACTACCCTTTTTCCTCTCCTTGTTTAATAAACGCCTATCCCCATGGGAAAATGTTTTCTCTCTTAATAAGGGCATATGGACGTTTATTTTGAGTTCTTTCAAATAAACGCCTGTTGCGAGAAACTCCGGCAATGCGAGTTTTAATCCATAAAAATTTGAGGAACTTCCAAGCATTTCATACCCTGCGTGCAAAGTCTAGTTAAACTACGAAGCAGACGAAGCTCTCTTTTAAGAAGTGAAGTCAAACGAATGCAAAGGGTAAGCATTTCAAGATGTCATAGGTGTGAATTTGGCATAAAAAGGTAGATACAAAGCGCTGCTGAACCCGGTAAGATCCATTATCAGGAGCTGCGTATGCAAATGGTGGGTAAATATTCTTTTGATTCTGTCCTTGAGATATTGCCAATAACCCAATATCAAGTTTAACAAGGAGAAAAATACTTCACTTTGGAGGCCATCGAGACCCAACTTGCACGCCATGGCGAGAATCACCTTCAAAAATGCATTTGAGCGCCGTCAGGTCTATTACATTGAATCATAACACAAAATGTACCACGTACCACAAGAGTCATAATTATTTTCGCACTAAAACCAATGAAAATTTCTCTTATAGGAAGGTTCAATGGTTTATTCCCTAACCCTTCTATCACACCAAACTAGTTCTCACTACGTTCTCGAAAACGGGCTTAAACTGTGCAGGAACGGATTTGACGTACTAAGAACCCACTATGAACCGTTTGGGATCTGTTTACAAACTTCATGAAACTACTAGAACGAGTAGGTCCTCAAGCACTTAGAGCATGCTAAAAAAAATTCTGGTGATCGTCAAAACGTTGCCGAATCGGTTTCAAACTGTGTGCGAACTGAATGAACGTAGCTACAACGTTCTACGGTCTGTTAACGAACTTCATGGACTTTAATCAGGTCATGATGACCTTCTAGACCAAAGGACGGTTTATACTACGTTGCACACCGACGTGGTGCGACCTGAACGAACTGCGAATGAGATGGACGTATTGAGGACTGTTTATGAACGAAGTAGCTTATTATTTTAGACATATATCCGGACCGCAGCCAGATTGAGCCCGTTTTACGACATTTTCGTACGACTGGCAAGAACGGGTAAGAGCTAGTTTGGTGTGATAGGGGGGTTAGTTTTCTTGCCAATGGAATAGGTCTACACTTTCCAACTAAAATTAATTTCTCCAAATTCTTCCATTTATTCTAGAAACTGAAGTGTCTGGATGTTGTAAAATGATTTTATTAACAATTAAGTCACTATTATATGCTGATATAACTCGAGATGTCGGAAATATGATGAATTTTGTGAAGAATTACAATATTTTCAAGAAATTGTGCTTCCTAGAAGATTTGAAAAGTTATAGATCGTGTGAAGAAAAATGTTGAGAGGTAGCGATACTAGATGCATCTGCGTGCTTGTGGTGGTGACGTATGATCTTCCAGTATATTTTACGTATTAGTTCTTGGCAATTTTAGAGAAAAATGACTTGTTTGTACTTCAATACATGATCTTATGAAAATATGTTTTGACATTTTCCATTTTTTAAATCCTATCTTTTCATACAGTCTTTCTGCTGGTAGTTGTAAGACGCTTGTAAACAAAATGATCTCCTCATACTCATACTTCTCGCAGTATTCTATGAGTTTGTATAATAGTATTTGGGCTAGCCCATTGCGTTTATAACGTCTTTTGATTGCCATATGTGTTACTTCTCCCTTTTCATTTAAACCATGTTCGGCGAGTCCTGCTGTTCCGATGATACATTCATTGTGCGATATCACCCAGAGGGGATGTTTCGGGTCACTCCAATATTGGCAGAAAATGTTATAGTCTGGACTACGACCAGTTTCTATTTTGCAGCACAGCCACAATAACGTATAATACAAGGTTGGGTAGGTAAATATACAATAGGTATACATTGTGCAGTAGTGACCCACTGAGATAGAAGATTAATCCCGAAAGGATCGCCATGACAGAGGTTATAAAAGGACGCATTAAGAGTGCTTTAATCAACCCCACGAGTAACTCAAATTGTGGTACAAATGTCACTCTTCTAACCTCTTTCCAATCATGTTTCTTTGGGTTGAACAGACCTATCTCAAGATCACTTGGAACAACTTTGATGTAGTCTGATCTTCTACTCAGGCCCAACATAATGGTTGTAGAGCAACTATAAAAATAGTATTCACGATATATTAGTTGATCGCTATGTTATGTTCTATTCACACAAAGCTCTAGGCAAGGTGTGCCGGATTCCAGCCAATGCGAACAGAGTATTCACATAATGAACAGTGTGTGAAATATCAATTACACATGTAAGGTCACTAGTTAAACAGTTGTCATGGTGATGAATGAATTTTTCACATTGGATTTGATGACTTGCCAACTTGACCTTTGCAAAAAATTTCATTGAAAATGTGTTCTTTTAGTGATTTTGTTCAATTTAGATGATTTATAGAAAACATTGCAACATGTGAAAAGAATTTAAGCCCTAAACTCAATACATTGTAGCTGCTTTATTCCACTCAGGTGTTGTTTCCTAAACTTTGCATTCCCGCTGCGCGGTCATGCAAAGGTTTGAAAACAACACCTTCATGGTATGATTCAGCAAACAATGCACTGAGTCCAGGGCTTAAACCCTTTAATCAAATACAGATCGAAGAATGTTACTACGAGACATTAACATGCAAAATATTAACACCTATTAGTTATAGACACCGAACACTGATCACCAACCGCCAAAAGCCGAACACCAAACGCCGAACACCGTCCACAAAACGTTGGAGACAATATGCCATGATCACCACGTATGGTAGTGACATCATAAAATGACTCTATCAGACCTATATCCCAACATATTTCTTAGTTACAATCACATGTATTTGTAAATACTACATGTATACTCGTACACTCACTCTTAAGAATACGTATATCTATTTTAGTACGAAGTAAAAAACTCTACAAAATATAAGAAATTGTGCAATAGAATGACGAGATGATCCAGAAATGCAACCATCTATAGTGTACTCCATTCAAAAATGGTGTAGTCTCTGATTTTTCGTGTGTAAATCCATTTCTGAAGTGTGTCCTCAGGCACAACTGAAGGCCGGAGGAATCTTTAAAATCATGTTGATCTGTTTGAATTTTGATAACGGTTGATATTTTACTTTAACAAATTGGACAGATATTTTATCAACTATAATAATACACCACCGTTAACGACCAGGGCTGAAATAGCAAGAAAATCTTACGCACTGAACCATATCTAATTTCCCGGGGAAAATTGCCGGTCCAGAATATATTCTAGACCGGTCCATATCACGGTGTATAACCCAAACGCTCCTACATGCACGACGGAGCGTTTCATTACTGAAATTAAACAAAAAAACGCTCCGGAGTAGGAAAACTGGCTGGCGGGAATGATGAGCCGTCTGACGATTTCCCCAATAATGGGAATAAGAGGTATGAGTTACATATTTCGAGTATACCATTCGATGGGTGTGATATTCATGTTGTACTTGGCTGGCTGTTGACGTTTGAAGCAATTAGGAAGAGCTGTACGAAGCAGTATAGTTATCAAAATCCAAAAACGTATTTGTCATTCTACCGGTCAAACCCCATTTTGTCGTTACGTGTGATTAGTTGAGCCAAGAGCACCAACGTATATTTTAGTCAAATTCCAATGCTTCAACGCACCATACATTATCCTTATAGTGATTTGATGACCGAAAAACCAGTCTTAAAAATGATGACATTCTCATATTCAAGAAACGCTCCGATCTGGTTAACACAGTGAACTTGAAACGCTCCGTTAGTCTAGATCTGTTTAGGAAATATATAGCTTGACTTTCCTTTTCAGGAAGAGAAAGAAATTAAGATCTATTATACCCCTTGGCATCAAAAGAAGAAAGATTCATTCACATATTAATTTTCGTTTTTTCTATAGTTTTATGATCTAGCACACATATAGGCATGACATCATCTAATGTAGGCTTAAATCAGCTAGTTGCACGTTTAGCACCACCAGGTTCAGATGTTTCAATTTGCCTAACAAGTACAACACGTTTTTGAGAGATAGATTCGATTCGGAACTCTTCTCTAATAATCTGAAAATGATATCAAAACAAAATGGAAAGAGCGTTTCTAAAATTGTGTTCTAAATCGACGGAGCGTTTCGAGGAAAACAAGCGATTTCTTGAGAACAAGTAATGGATTTGGACTGGGATTTTAAGAAATGAGAATATACGAGTTTGTGATCTAATACTTTAAGAGAAATATTAACGTTTTCATAGAAATACTAGTTTAAGGATATACCAGTGTAACCTCCGAAAAAATCGACCATTTTCAATCTCAACGAAACTAGGTTTTTATTATAGACCTAGATGTAGCGATTCGAAAAATGTAATAAAAAAGGTAGGTCAACGGATTAGATTTTTCATGAGAAGCTTCTGAAAATAGGTGTGACGTTATCATCATTTGAACATTTGAGGCGCCATTGATTTCAAAGCAAAAAAAACATACTTTCCTATATTTCTTCGATAAAATGATGATTTAGAGAGTATTGACGATTTTTGTCGAGCCTAGATAAACTTCATTTATACATAATTACATTAGTTCGAATATTGGTACACTCAGGACATTTTTTGTTACTTTTTTCACCTAAAGTGTGACCCCTACCCCAACAGTATTTGTGAAATTTTGTAACGTTTTTCCGTTAAAAACATATCTTTTTCATTTTCGCATTTTGACACGTTTTGAATCGAAAATTACGCAAATTTCCAATGGATTGTGGTATTTTTTTTATTTGCTTATTCTAAAAAAGGTGTTCTCATGTTTATTTTGATATAAAAAAAACATAGGGTCAACGGTCTGTTTTACGCTTGAAAATGCCGTTGAAGATTGGTGTGCTTTAGCAATGATACAAAAGCCACTGGTCAATTCGCGTCATAATTTAACAAAATATATGACGTCTTTCTCAAGAATTAACAAAATCGACTGCTCACAAAAACATAAACTAGCTAAGTCCACATGATAAACAACATTCCAAAATATGAATTATGAATAAATTGAGGGCTAGATGCCCTAGTAAGACATTCATTCAATAAACGATGATTTAAAATGGCTAATAATAGCCATATCTGACTCCTATTCTAATATGCTAATATTTCTGTTCATTTTTCGGGGAGGATAACGTTGCATTTGAGGTTAACAATTGTGAAAACTCAACATTTCCTGTCTTAATGAACTGCCTTCACAAGTATAACCTCACAGATCAAGCATGAATGATTTCACTCGTGATATATAGCATGCATGCTTTTTGATGATTTTCGGGTGGGGTTGTACATTCCCTGTGCATTCCTCACCCCGAGGTCCCCACTTGTGTAAAGCTGTGGGATTTGAGCAAAATACGTCTACTGAATGTAGTACACGAATAATGTGTTTCTGTGAACGGCTATGGACGTTTTTCGCATTGTATCCGGCATGTCCGATCATGGTCGTTAATACTCACCGGGGAAATATTTTTAACTGGTAACTATAATTATAAAAATATAGAATAATAATATAAATTGAACAAAGGTTTGAATGGCTTGTTTCAAATGTTTGATGGTATTTGTTTTGACAGAAAGGAAAAACGAAACAAGGTAATGATTTCAATAGAAATACATATACTAGTAAATGAATGTTCATGCACGGACTTTAAGTGTCCGTGGTTCATGTAATAAGTGTAAACATGAATTATAGAAATTCCAAAATATAATACTGTATTTTACAGTTGCCTTTTGATATTAAATACACCTGGTCAATACATAGGCTATAGACTATAACTTAATGAAAACTCATACAGACTGTAGCGTAATAAGAAGCAAGTTACAAAATAGATTTGTCGTGTTTGTAATACATGGGCATATACACATATACTGCTGGGATAAATGAAAGAAACGGACACGAAACTGGAATGAAACAAGAATATACAAAAAATTACTGAATTATTTGGAAGAATTGATGACGTATAGTTCATTTGTTTGTTTATTTGTTGATGGGGCAATATGTCACTGACGTCACAGATAATGGTATCATATTCCAAGAACCTATTAACAAAAGTATTATATGACGTCATGATAAAACAACATTGAAAATGAGAATCTCTTAGTTGCTATGGATTACTATGTCGTAAAGCGTCATATATCGTCATTCTACGTCCTTGATATTTAATACAGAACACTTGTCAAACGTGAAGTTAACAAACGAGCTTTTCATAGAGGTGTTAATTTTCTATTTCTGTAATTTAAAAATATATCACCATTGTCGTAAGGGTTACACTGGTATATCCTTAATTCGTAATTTGTGGTCAAATCGTCATCTTCAGATTCGTTCGATCTACACTACGGAGCTTTGATCAAGCAAATAACAGTTTACCACCAGAAGTTGAATAAATAAGATCTTTGCTCACGGTATTGTTCATCGAATGGTACATAATATTTCACCATAACATATGATATGTAAGAGAAACGAGAGAAACAATACTTACGGTCATAGTGGTATCTTCATTAGCCGCCATTTTATTTCGCTCCGGAGCGTTTCCGCGTAAATGAAACGCTCCGTCGTGCATGTAGGAGCGTTTGGGTTATACACCGTGCATATGGACCACCAGTATGACGTCACACATTTCTCAGGTCGATATAGTGAAAATGAATGCCTTCTAAACTAGCACTAAAACCCCTAGAACTGGCCCGGCAAGGTGGTAATAACATACATTAGGAATATTCTATGGTTTCGAAAAAATGTCATTTATATCCACGAGTGATACATAAAGTAAACATAAATTAAATCTGACAAGACATGTTAACGGCTACAAGGTTGATTTGCACCGCTACCCACATGAAAGATTCAAATCTTTATTATTAATTTTATTAAGTATAACTTAAATACATTTTTGATTTAAAAAGAGTAACTGGAGACGGCAAACCTTCATAGCCTAAACATGGCATCACTTTATGCACTAGATATGAGTCAATTAAAGGGTGTCGCAATATTCTGGCTGAAGAAGACAGTCACCAAAGTGATGATGAATGATTTCAACAAGAATGGAGTGTGGGATATGGAGGATTGTAGGAAATCAGCTGAGAAGATGATCAAGATAGGTGAATATAAGATTTTTTATGTCACCACCACAACAACAGTGTCACTATTCAAGAGTAGCCAAAATTTGTGACATAATAATATTATAGTCTTCAATTTTTCGTGGTTGATGTTCGGTGTTCGGCGACTGTAACAAATGTCAGGGGGTGATACTTTGCATATGACAATTGACATTTTAGATGACACTGACATTACATTTTAGATGACACTGACATTACTCATGCCTACTCTGAGCTCCATTGACCACACGGGGACGCTAAACCCCGTGACCTATTCATACAACAGCACACAAATTCATAAAAGGGATAGACATTGGACGGTGCTGTCAGTCCTTTTAGAAAATAAGCAAGGCATGATATGACGTGAGCAAAAGTATTGTAAACAAGTCTTCTCTGTTCAATATAATTTCTATAATTTTGCATTTTAGGAAATCTCAAAGGAGCCAAAGCTGAGGAGGTCTACACGTACTGGGAAAATATGCCGCCGTACTTTAACACAGCGACAAACTTAACTGATTGGATCATTGGCGAAATCGATTTTAGAAATGATCCGAACAGCCCACCCATAGTCTCTGAATACCTTGAAAAATGGTTCAGTATCCTAGATTCTGATAGAGATGATGCCATTGACCTCAATGGGTACAAAGTTTTCTGGGATGCATATGGCCTTGACCCCGATTACTTAAAGCGCCAGTTTGACTACATTGATGCGGATAAAGATGGTATTATATCACGTCAGGACTTTGTAAAAGCGGGTATTGACTTTTGTTACAATACTGAGGAAAACGCTAACATATTTTGGGGACCAATTAAAGACCTTAAGATGGTTTAAGGAAAATGTGGGGGTAACATGGCTGCTACACTTGGAATACATGCAATATTGTGTATGCCATATCTACAATAGTTCAGTTCAGTGTCTTTATTTCCTCCACATAGGTGAAGATTTAAACATTACATATAATTACAGACAATTCACATTAACAGATTGTTTACATTTGTACATATTAATTGTTACATATAGATTTACATGTTTGTTTGATTTCTGTTTACTGGTTACTGATTACTGTAGTTTATAGTTCATTTGCGCCACGTCCTTTCTTTTGATGATTAAAGGGGCAACAAGGCCTGTAGAGAGAAAATTAGAAAATTCTTACTTTTTGAGCTATCAGGGGAACATTTGGCTTAATATCTTCTATGATATATATAATTACTGAAAATGTATGGATAAACTTGGCCTATCAATATCAGCATTAAGAAGTGTAAATTCAGTCCAAAGCAGTTCTATAAATGGAGTCCCATTTATAGATTTGAAGATTCAACACGTTTCAAGAGGAATATCAGCTGAAATAATGTTCATCCAGGGGATTTCTTTGGAGATAATAAAATATATGTTAGTCTTGATAAAATATCCAAACTTAAATATATTTTGACACTGGTCCAGATTTGTCATCCTCCGATCACAGGGCTTCAAAATTCACCTGCATAGGAGGATGATATTCGTTGAATTAAATTAATTGCTGCGCCTTTAAGTAGTGGTGATCGTAAGCATTTATAGACATTGCCCCTTATGATGTTGCTATAAGACATTTTTGAATAAACAAGTAAAATGTAAATATGTCTAGCAACGCGGGTCTTGTTTTTTATTTCTTACTTTGAAAGGAATATTATTTTTGAAGATCTTGTTACAATAATATTATGAACAAAGATGAGAAGTATGTAAAAATAAGATAAATACAGTAATACCTCCTAAAAAACTATACACATATTATTTTTTTGTAAAGATGCTTCGTTTCATTCCAAACATAAAGTAGCAAGAACAAACAAAAGCCAGGGTCCGGTAGTTTAAAAAACAATGTACAAAGATTCAAAGCTGAACAATGAAATTTCATACTTTCACTGTTTTGTTTTTATAGCGGAAGATTTGAATCTTAACATAGTTACGTCAGTAGTGCTCGTTTGATTCAATTAAAACACATGAAATGAGTACTTAGATATCTTCCATTTACAGATGTTACACAATTTCATAAACGTCTCTATGTCTACACAAATACAATATTTTTTGTACTTTTATTTACAATTGATAGGCGTCTTTTCCCTGTTCCGCTAGGCTTATCACTTCGTCCAGGGTGTCAAATGGCGTATACTAGTTATTTCTATCTTGCTTCATCAAGCTTCGGACGTAGTGATTGAGCGTGGGAAACGACGATGGTTATTTATGTCTGAGAGGGTTTCAGTAAGTGTTGTTAAATAAATTTATTTTAAGGCATTTGATTAAACCCCAAATATTATGGGACTCATATAAAGTATTCCACTAAAGTAGACACACAGATCAATACTCATTTTCTAGGATACGAAGAATTCACCCTAAAATATGATATCTTGACACCCTTCGTAACATACTACGGCATAATACACGCAATTCCACGCTCGTGGAAAACTCTCTTAAAAAATGAAAATGATAATATCAATACACTAGGAGTTGATGACTTACAAATCAAAAATTCAGTTATAAATATCAAACATATTAGTACCAAAAGAATATATTGGCACATCGTACAAAACAAATTTAAGGAACCCGTAGGAAAACGATATTTCAATGAAAAATTTGACCTGACAGAACAAGAGTGGAAATCTATTTTTAGACTACCTTTTCAAGTTGCGCGAGAGCCAAAGATCCAAAGTTTCCAATACAAACTACTACTTAACCTCACCCCTTGTAACTTATTTCTGTTCAACAGAAAAATTAAAGAGTCTAATCTATGTGATAAATGCAATCGTGGTGCAGTAGATGACACCCAACACTTCTATATAGAATGCGCGACAGTCGCGAACTTTTGGAATGAAATATCCGTTCTATTTGACAATATACTTTTGAGAGACCGGGATATATTATTAGGAAAAATAGGCAACCGTGACGATCGCGATACAATTCTAAATTATTGTTTGCTATACGCGAAAAACTACATTCACAACTCCAAAATTGGAAACTACGACATTAGTGTGAACGGTTTTAAAAATACTTTAAGAAACAAAATTAAAGATGAATTAAAAATATCTACAGAAAACAAAAACCGGCAACTTTTTATCGGGAAATGGAACTCAATACTGAATAAATTAGACATACCATTTTAATTACAACAATGTATCGTTGCACAAACCTGTATTTTATTATTTTTGCTGTCTGTACTGTGTATCTTTTTTGCTTTTTATTCGAAATGAGACCATGTAACTGTTATGTGCCTTAACTCTATATTATCAAATTGTCTTTACCATCACCAATGTATGCACATGTATGTAAATTTATAGTGTGAGAAATAAATAATGAATATTAAAAAAAAAAAAAAAAAAAAAAAAAAAAAAAAAAAAAAAGATCAATACTCATTAATTGTACTGATTTAGATCACTCCATTTACCGGTGAATTATAATCATCAATATTACAAAATCAGAAACTATAAATATGGTACTTTGCCTGTTATACTAATCAAAGAGCCATATACATTACACCTGTATAAATCCACGCAGATGTATACGTATAAATTGTATATTTCTTGTCCAAGAAGCATTAGACAGAGGAACAACAGACGAGTTTTAACGGATAAATATATTTAAAAAGGCAGTAAGATGATGGCAATGCAAACTGAAATCTATCTAGTGACTTTTGCTTGTGTAGTATCATTTATTGAAACGCATGTTGCTGAAATTGCAATAAAAGTTTCCAAACACCAGCTTACAAATCTGAAATACGAAAAGTTCCCCAATGCAGAACGATTGGACAACCCGTGGAAGTCGTTCAAAGTCGTAACAAATGCTCGATGTGCAGCAACCTGCAGTGCAAGTCCTGACATATGTAAGTCGTACAACTTAAGAAAACTTAGTGGAGATAGGACTTACCGAGCTGTATGTGAGCTTAATGGCCCAAGTGCAACTCCACCAACCGATGCGTATGACAATGGGGATCACTATGACAGAGGTTAGTGTACCTTTCTATCTAGAATAACTTGTTTTTATGTTATAATAACGCAAATGCGAGTAGGTAGTTACCAGTTTCACCACCAGGTGGCTCGCTCGGGTCAGATAGCATGGCGGGTATAGTAGAAAGTTCCCTTTAACTTAAATTACATAGGTTTTAGTGGTTCAATTTTCATATAGCCCTTATGTATGGAATAGTTATGCAAATTAAACTATGTCCAGTAAAAGAAAATGTTATCTGTCCAATACAAGATAAGATTATTCACTTTTTGTGATTTTGTAACATGGGGTCTATGGGGAATCAACCCGAACTAGAAGTCACATTTTCAAAAATTTTCAAAGTTATTAAAAAAATTTCGTAACCAATTTTCAAATATGACATCACTTTGACTGAATTTTGAATATTTAATGACGTAAATCAAGATCATTTCTACTCGCATGTAGTCTATTATAACAAGTTATTCGAAGTCTATATAAATATTCGAGTAACAAAAAATAAAGCTATTAATTCATGAATTGTTGATATTGTATGACCTGTCAAAACTCGAGCAGGTATTATACTTTTATTTATGTTTACAGATGAATGCCATGTAAACAACGGAGGTTGTAGTGATATATGTACCAACACGTTTGGCTCATTCGTCTGTAGTTGCCCGCCAAATGGGTATGTTAAGGCTGATGGTTTAACTTGCACGTTTCGTAAGTGAATTTCTTCAGTATGATTTTATCATGAATTTAATGGTGTGGTTGTAATTTGGGATTATGATTATGGTTTCTGATGTGGGACAGAAGTGACGGGCCGCCTACACAACATTGACCATCGTAATTTCTTCGTTTCCTTTCTCCGTTGTCTTTTTATTTTAGGGTGTCACATGACAGCATTGACATAAACTTCATTACTGCATTACTATTTGCGTCTTCATGGGCTTTCTTTGGTTATTCCCAATTGCAAACTGCCTGTTGATGCCTCCATGTCGTACGCCATTCGAGTAATAGTCCATGTACAGTGTACATTCGGATCATTTCAGTTGCTCCAACAGAGCATTGGAACGATACGATACCATCAACTGGGATTAATTCCATGAACAATCGAAGAGAAAATAAGCTTGAAAAATGTTACACTCTGATCTTCAAAATTATCAATATTTCAATATTCTGTTCAATTCTATTCTATTTTATAATCGTAACACTTGTTTGTTTATTAAAGCGTGTCCCGAATTCTTCACTTACAACGGAGAGATGAGTTCATGCTACATGTTTGTTACAATCAAGAAAGCATGGTCCGAAGCGTTGTCGCATTGTGCCACAATTAATGCGAACCTAGTTGCTATAGAATCGGAGAAAGAGGATGATTTCATTCGCGCTGAAATCAGACGAAAAGGAATGAGATGGCCTGGATTTAATGATGATTCTTTCTACACTGGTGGGATGAAAGTCCCACCAGACCAAAGTGGTAACTGGCAATGGAGCGGTGCGTACCCATTCAGCTTTCAGCAATATGTACCATGGCAAAGTGGAGAAGGAAGTAATCAATTTTCTTATTGCCATATCCTATATGCCCCAGACTACTATTTGTGGCATGACCTAACATGTTCCTTTGAACATAATTTTATTTGTGAAATAAAGCTATGAAGAAAATAGCATCAATTTGGTTGCCAATGTGGCGCAAAATGGTTGTTTCTGTTTGTGTATGTAGTTAAAGAACAATGACATAATCTTTCATATAACACTATGCAAACCTCTCTACGCTATGATGTATATGGAACATTGTTTGTACTTTTCAAATAGAATCGTCTGGAAATCAGTTTGATTAAGCCGATGTCACCATATTTTAGTGATGCTTTAAGCTCATTCATGCATATGTAATTAGCAAATTAGCCCCGGGAAAAAATTTATTAAGGCTGCGTTTTTGAACTGCCCGCGGGCTAGTGCATTGCATAATACATTACATAATAAGTATTCCCCCTATGTATCACGAAAGAGGACAATGAGCCCATTCGTTGCAAATTACATGCTCAAACGTTTTCAGCAGATGCAGTTCACCCAAGCGCACTTAAACCGCTAATAGTATAGTTTCCATATAGCTTTTGAAATCTCGCTAAATCTCGTTTTTCGTGAGATTTTAAGAGACTTGCATATTAGACCTCTAATGACTTACATTACCTTCTTTTAAATGGTATATTTGAATTCAGTGGAATGTTTTCTCCTAAAATAGCTTTGATTTACACAGTTATGTAATTTGAATAATTTTCTATGACAATTTAAAAAATGTTGGGCCAAATGTCCATAGATGCAATGCTAAAATTCTTTAAAACCGTGGATTATTTGTATGTCAATCAACATTAGCATGTTTAATCACAACATGTTCATAAACAGGGTCATCATGTGGTATATCATTCAAGTTTTATACAGATTCAACAAACACACTTTGATAAATCATGAAATTAAGCCACCTTTCCAAGATTTTAGCATGTAAGTGAATGGAGCTCTAGCCAGAGTTAAAAGCTGAATAAAAGATGGCAGCACGAGATTTCATTGATTTTTCTGCTATTTAGAAACTATCCTATTACGTTGTGGCAACTTTGTCGACTTGTTGCTTGTTGTTCTTTTTGGTGATACCCAACGATAAAGCTCATCAAAACCTCATTTAGATATGAATGGAATCGCGGCAGGTACAATTCATAAATAAATGAGCTGCCCATAAAATAGTAGGTTAATCCGATAGCTGTTGCATTCGCGAATACAAGCTTTGTTGTCTAGGACTATGTTAAACGTGTCAAAGATGATATGTAATATGAACCAAAGTCATTGAAACCTAAGGCCGAGGGGTACGTTATAATTTTTTAAGTGCCCTAGTGTGCTAGTTGTCTATATGTAGTCAGTGCAGTGCACATACTTGCACATAAAAAAGCTCAAAAGAGAGGGATGAATGGTCGACATGAAACAATTAAAAACGCCATTTCAATACTATAACTTGTGTATTCCCAAGCCTCTACTTAAAGCCTTAGTTTATGCTGAATGCTGGTTAGAATTGGTTGCTGTAACAATATGTCACCAAATCTTGCTGTTGTATTATCTGATTGATCATATTTGATTGTGTTATTTCGTGATACTACTTGTGTTTATTTCGTGACATATGCACGAGCGCCATCTTTACTGATATAGTCAGCCATTTTGATGTACATGTGTAAAATATTTCAAAGTATAATATAGACATAAAAATCAACATAAAACATTGTTTATTGTCGTCATATTATAACAGAACCCCTGCTGGTCACAAAAACGTTAATAAGATTTATTAGAGATACATTGATGTCGATCATATGTTTGAGTGTGCGACCTTTATAGAAATCAATGTACATAAATTATATGGAGGTCATCATGTAGTAAACGGACATACTTACAGGATGTAGGGCCAATCGCAACTAATAAATAAATATTAGCCCATTAGTCCATTATGGTTATTAAAATTACTGTCTAAAACTACTCTGTGCACTTAATATATAATGTAGTGTGCATTGGTGGGGTAAAAACCGAAATAAATGATGCGTAAATATTAAAACAAATAAATGTATTATACATGTTTCGAAATATGTCGACTATAATAATTCTATATGTTTTACACAAGTACATTTGATTTGTGTATATGTGGTTAACGCACTTATTATATGCCGTAAATGTGTATCTGACAGTGTTTGGTAAAATGTCACATATTTATGTCCATACATAACACACGTAAATAGGCGATTGACACATATATATTTATTATACCAATGGACCAATACCAATACCTTTGCTCCCCCATTGAACTAACTAAAATTGAGAAAATTTGGAGGTATTGGAAACAAAATCAAGTTACGTTTCTATTAATATTATGAATATTTTCATCGCAGGTTAAGGAAACAAAAATTCAAACGTAAAGACGCTTTAACACGTAGTTCAAGGGGGAGCTAAGGTTGCCAAACTTATGGAGGGGAGTGTACCATTTCAATGACTATACTAATAATTATTTATGTAGAAGTCTAGGTAAAAGATTAATATAAAATTAGTCAGTATGCCCCAGTCAAGTTAATTGATTTATATAAAAATCAAGATCCTTATTACTTGGTGACATTCTTTATGTTATTTGTGAGTGATCAATTATTAATTTGATCTTGAATGTAGTTAGCGTTCACGTGGTTGTTCATCTTCCGAATTTTTCTACTGTTCATAATTTTGCCAAAAATCAAATAAATTTCTTGCACAAGAGGAACGATGATAATGAACGCAGCTGCTATGAATGCATACGCTATGGAGAATGTTGTCCAGTGGTAGAATTCGTTCCTGGTAAAAACTTTAAAGGGAATCATAGCGCAAGGCCAAACAATCATGAATCCAACAAATAGAGTCAACCCAATAATCATTGCAGTGATCCGAGACCTTCGGAAGCGGGATTTCATTGCTGCGTATGTTGGTCGCACAAACTTTGACGTTAAATCATGAACTGTACCGAAGTCACGTGCATATGTAATTGCCCAGGGGTGAAGCGGGTTCTCTATGTTTCTCAGTTTGTTCCACTCTTCTTCCTCGTTGAACTTCTTTCTATCTAGTGTGCACATTGAAACCATAATGCATACAATTCCACTCAAGCCTAATGAGACGGCACTGCCCACAAGAGTGGGTACATCCCTACTGGTGTTCTTTAAATTCACTCCACCTTCATATGTTGAAGCCAACGCCAACCATAAAGTTATACCACAAAGGCAGCCAGATAGAACACCTGTAAATTGAAAACAAACGTGTCCTTGCAAACGGATGTGGGTATAGGTTTAAGGTTCAAAGTATTAATTCGATATTTTATGGGTTTTGTGTCTTGTCATGAAGTTATGATGCCACCTATGATGAGACCATTTTTGCACTCAGGCGAGCGTATGATGGCCGTACTGTAGTTTCCCGAAATAGAGAAATACCAAGGGCGAACGTAAAAAATGTACGGTCCCCTCAAGGTCACAGTTCGGCTTATTCCATTTTTACAGGAAGATGGAAGGCCGTGGGATTAACAGGGTGGGCCAAAAGAGGCAATGTTTTGTAAAATGGCCATAATATCTTGACCATAAAGTATAAACCAATGAAACTTAGATGACAAAAAGACCATTAAACAATGTTTAAAAGTATCAACTATGACTTTTAAACCAATGTTTGATGACTGAACTAATAACACTTGATTAGATTTCGTTTTTCACCCCGCTACGGCCGCCATGGAAATTAAAAAAACTAAAGTCATGCCTTAAAGCAAGACTTGCCACATTTGGAAACCAAAGGTTTTCTGTCCTCACATTTAAAATACAGTACGGCTGCCGAAGGACATGGAACTTTGATTGTATGTGACCATGGAAATAAAAGACCGTACGGTGGCGTTGTTTTGACTTAAATGATTTCATTTTCTCTTTAAAAGCTCATACCTGATATCATACCAGCAGCCGTTGCCCTGCTCCAGAGGACGCTAAGTGCTACTGGGATGATGACTCCGCCTATCATCACCCCAGTGAAATAGAAAACCCATCCTAGGTTCAGTCCGACCCAATTTGAGAACAACACCAGTGGAATCGTGAAGAGCGTGACCCAAAGAATGCACCAATTTTTAAAGTTCAGCAAATCATCTTGGTATTGTCGGTACAACCCGTGGACGTTGCATGTATATGGCTTTTTAACTCCTATGGTAAACTTCTTAGATGATCTCATTTTCTTGTCTTCCGCACATTCATTGCATTCAACTACTGGTTTACAGGAGCACGTGGTCGTGGTTCCCTCGTTATTACTTAAATTAGTATCCGAGGCAAAAATACGATCCTTGTAGTACGTACTTGTACCACTTGAAGTATCACTTGAAGGACGGGAGGATTTACCACAGAGTATACAGTCACCAGCTTTCAGATTCTTTCTAAAGAACAATAACACACTTAGTGAAAGGGGATGTAACATATATAAAGGGTTGTGTAAAGCCTATATTATGGCGGCTCCATATATATGAGTCTATTTTTCGAAATCTCCTCTGCTCAAGGCAGCCACACAGTTGCCACGAATGTGTTTATACTTTGCGGGAGAGCTCGATCCATTGATCGTGTTAGTTAAGATGGGGGAAACCCTGGAGTTCAGAGATGACATACGTCTATAACGTAATTGTGTATTAAGATGGCATCGTCGCCGATCAACAGATAAATTAAGTCACTCAATCAATGGTGGTTTCTAAATTTTCTAAAAAACGCTTCGAATCATATTATGTTAACATTCATTGGAACAGTATAACTTGTTATTTCACATCAAGATAAAGGAATGTGTACGGAATATGTTAAATTTGTAAATGCTTTTGAGCAATGAATGAATATTACGCTGTCTATATAAGCCCAGGACGTGAGTACAAAACATCAAACCTGAAAGGATTTATGTATGGCTGATAGACATCATACACAATCAGCGATGCAACAGCAATAACCTCAGCTGACCCTGTTGACATTACCGCCATCAATATGGCAAGGAATAACATGTACTCCCCTGTTCTTCCGAGTACTACTTGAGCAACCACTGGTGCCGCCAATCCTATAAATAGCACTCGTAATAGAGTTGTAATTAGAATTTTAATTGCAATCTAGATCTCCTTACCCTGCGTGCAGAGTCTAGTTAAACTACAAGAAGACGAAGCTCTCTTTTAAGAAGTGAAGTCAAACGAATGCAAAGGGTAAGATCTCCTATTCATATCAGGAACTTTTCCTGCACGAAAATATACCTGTTTGGATATCAGTTTCAGAAAGAATAGAAGATCCTTGATAATTTTCCATGGCTATGTAAACCAATCCAATGGTTGTTGAAAAGGTGAAAGGTATGGCGAACCACGTCAAGCCACCGGCTATGAATCCCCAAACGCCATGCAAAGGTTTAGCTGCTATGCTACTCTGCCAATATGACTGATCCCCAAGCTGTGACGCGCAAGACATTACAAAGATGATAACTCCAAACATCAGACCACCGGATGAGAGAATCGTCAAGTAACTTTCATTGTGGTTACCATCTGGTCCCGTTGCATTCTGAATGTAACTATACATAATGTCTGAGCTCCCATACGGCAAACCGTCTATTCCTAGTGAAGGCTTTAAGAGTATTTCGGTTACAATGACAATGAGGAAACAAAAGATGAGAGTACTGTTGAAGTAGGATACGTAGAAGGTCGCACCAAGTCCACCAATTAAAGTATAGGAACCTATAAAAGCAAGTCTGTAGATCATATTGGGGAGTAATAATTCGTCAAAGTCAGTCTTTCTCTAAAAGCAACACGGTGAGGATCGAATTATAGAACACCTACCTATTACAGCAGCAAGTATCATACAGGTCAGTTCAATGGAAAGATCCAATGTTAAACTAGTTAATACAGCACTGCCAGCCAGCAATAAACTCATGGTTGTAATAAGATTGGTTATGCCAGCGAACACACAGAATATCATATGTGATGGGGCTCCAAACCTTGCACGGATCACCTAATAGAAAAGATGTGGACTAACTAACTGTAGAAATAACCATTTTACTTATAAAATGACCGTTATTGCCTTAGAAATCAAGATTTTAATAAAATTAGAAGAATCTACAGATATTTATTGAATTACCTCTGCAAATATCAACCCTGATGGTACTATTCCACCCTATGGGATGACACAACCAAATGCTATGACATGGGTTTCCCTATATAAATGATCTGTCTTTGAGAGAAAATTAAGATTTGTGGCCATGTTTTGCTATCATGTCATCATACCCAAGTTTGTCCTCTGTCAGTGAAAATAGTTTGAATCAAAACTCCCCATGAAAATCAAAATATCTCACCTGTTGAATACGCCATCTATATAGAAAATGTCAAAAATGTTCATTCGAATTTTGACAGATGGAGGTCAAAAAAGTCAAAATTTTACAGAGAAAATATCATATCAAATCATGTGTTAGAGTTGATCCAAATATACACCTTTTCATTCATGGACTTACCAAAATCAAACCACTTGTGATGCTGGTGTAATTACAATAACGGGACTATGTTTTTAATTTTAAAATGTCATCTATCCCCACTTCAGCGGTAGAATCAATTGGTCGTGTGTCCCTATAAAATGGAGTTACCTGAAGGAAGGTTTTCGCCCCTGGCGCCTTTGTCTTTAGGTGGATGGATAGGATAGCCAAGATGAAATGATGTACGGTAGCTCCAGCTCCATACCAAAGTGGTCCACTTATACCATACTAAACATTGAAAAATATCTTGAGAAAATAACTCATTGATAAATATAACATGTCGTCGCATGAGAATAACTTTGTACTATCTGTTACGCGGTATATGGCATACATTCATGGTTGCGCGGTATTTGTGATACGGGTGAATATGCCATACTCACCTGCGGTATATGGCATATTCCGCAGGTGAGTATGCGATATTCCGCAGTGAATATGCGATACATTGATTTCAGTGAATACCCGATACTCACCTGCGGAATATGTCATACTCACTTGCGGAATATGCCATATACCGCAGGTGAATATGACATATACCGCAGGTGAAAACGTGATACAGAAAGCCTTGATTTGATTGGTTGCGAGAATCGACTCTAAATGTAAAACTACGCTGGACTAGTTAGTGCGTCGAGTACTTATATATGAATCCTGGATTGACTGAGAAAGTTTATTACGCAAGATTGGTGACTGATACTTCTGCTAAGTTGATATATTCGGTACACAGTTCTATTGATTCAGTAATCATTATAATAATTTATAACGTATACTTATTCGTTCAATTAACAATTGCGTACTTCCGTATCGCGTTCTCATTGGTTAGTGTGTATGTCATATACCGCAGGTGAATCTGTCATACACCGCAAGTGAATATGCCATATTCGTTGCGGAATATGACATATTTTTGTATCGTGTTTACCGCATAACACTATCTCACATTTTTACGGAACTGAGAAATCAAGGTTTGAACGTTTAGAGGTCTGTATCTTACTTAGTATTGCTATGTGAAACTTGATTTTTTGTATGTCACCTGGTCTCACCCTAGAGATATCTTATATGAAATATCATACCTTGAAACAATTTACAAGATCCTTTTTTAAAACTATGGAAATGGAGTTGATACAATTTCCCACCGGAATAACAGCTTATTTCTAATTTCAAATTGTCATATCTGATATCAACTGTTTCAACCAATCAACTCTCTAAGAATTGGTCATGTGACTTGCAAAACTTGGAGTTATAACAATCTTATATTAAAACAAAGTATGCCAATATGCATGTTATTGTATCTAGAATGAAAAATAATGTTTTGCTTTGTAAAAAAATCTTCAAAAACCAAAGAATATTATTTAATAAAATAAAGAAAATTCAATTTATTAAACTTTAAAATCAATTTCTCAAATAAGTACAATTATTTCTTAATTTTGGAATCTCAGGACACCCTTCAAAAAGAATTTATTGCCTTTGAAACTAAGGCAGAAGTACAATGCATTGAAACCAATGATGCCAATACGGTCCCCCACATATTTCCCTCGGTATAAACCCTGTAGCCTACACCTCCCAGCACATTACAATGTAGCCCCTAAGGGCCGGTCCGCTGGTCATTATCAGGTTATTTTTGATACAGACCAGTTGATTTTTTCACTGGGTATAGGAGAATAACATTGCAACTGGTCCGTAATTCCATTTTGACCAGCAGGTTTCAGATCCTTAGGGCCTAAGACATAACCAATTTTTATTACATGCAAATGGAAGAAATTTGAAAATAGAAAAATAATTTCTAATTCATTTTAGATTAATGAAAGTGATGAAACCTCGATTTAGGTAATCACATTTTGTTCATTGGGATGCAGCTATCATTATCCATTCATTTTCTGTTGTTTGCTACTCTGTGGAGTACAATGGGGAATTGAAGCAATTGTAGAAGTGGAGACTAAGAGTGGCTCTTTGTAAAGAAATTGAACCAATTTGTTACTTTTCCAAAATAAAATGTAGATGATCTAAAAACAATGTTCCCAAAAATGCAAAAGAAAGGACAAATCTGAAAAACATACTAGTAATAAAATAACTAAAAAGATCCCAGATGTTCAGTGGAAAGCGCAAAGTAAATCATAGATGAAGAGAAAATAAAATAAGTGTTTTAAGGGACTATACTAACATAAAGATAACTCCTTATTGATATAGTGTATGGTCAGTAAAAGTTAAAGCTAGTTTAAACAGATTTAGCTTTTTTCCACAAACTATAAAACATCATTTTGAAAGAGATTTCAATAGTATACAGACAGTGATTGCCTTTGAGCAATGTAGTGCAAAATATGACAGTTACTATTTGTTTTGATTACTATTATCTAGTATATAACCTATTATTATGTACTCTATTTGAAGAAACAAATAAGTAGTCTTTCATTTTCAACATTTAATGATGACAGCTTCGTATATGCATTTCTATTGCATTTGGCCATTCAAACCCCCATAAGACCTGGTAGCAGGGAAGATAAAGGGTACTTTTGACTGCTCACATGATAACTGGTCATTTGTACTTTTCATCTTCCCTGGTAGCAAGGACTTAGGTTTTCGAGGAAATTAGTAATTCTATTTCATATCATGTGGCCATGAATAATCCTATGAGCATCCATAATACAAAGAGTAATTGAGGGCATATAATTTGAATATGCATGGGATTACACATACTGTATCATTTTATTTTTTTGATCTACTTGTAATAGTTCTAAAACTAAAACATGAAAGGCCAGGCATGCAAACTGGCATGGTATTGTGTTACAAAACATTATTTCATTCTAGATACAATAACATGCATATTGGCATACTTCGTTTTAATATAAGATTGTTATAACTCCAAGTTTTGCAAGTCACATGACCAATTCTTAGAGATTGATTGGTTAAAACAGTTGATATCAGATATGACAATTTGAAATTAGAAATAAGCTGTTTGTCTGGAGATGGTACAATTTTACACTGAATTCTAGCTTAATGAGAGGGAATTGAGATGGGGCATGTATCTGAGATGAAAGCCTGTGTTTCAAATAGTAAAATTCCATGTCTATCTCAATTTTTTTGAAAATGGCAGTTAGTACAAAGTTATTCTCATGCGACGATGTAATAAACACGAATTACCCGAGTTCCCATATATACCGCTGGAAAACCCGGGGCTGGAAAGCTTGGGGTGTAAGGTATGAATGTATGCATCTGGCCTTATTTTAAAGTTCAGTGGATAAAATAATTTAAAAAGAGAGTTATAGTTGTTTTTCATTTTACAACAAATCCACCCTTGGTATACGCAGCTAACGAAAATTGACCGGTACGGGTCAAAAGCTGGACCGGTACGGATTAACGGTTTTATTTGAATTTAAAATAGCCATAACTTGCTCAATATTGACTTCCTCGTGTCTAATTTGATATATATGATGCCTCCCGATGCTTTTAAGTACCCCAATTTTTTACAGATTTTTAAACGGACCAAAACTCTCTAAATGCGCATTTATGCTCTTTTCTCTCGAGAACGACTGTCTCATTTTCACGATAACTTTTATTTAGTACTTCTAACATATAAGATCTATTTTTCCCCATCAAGGTATGATGTAAATGACATGCTATTTACATCTTGTGAGTTTCAATGACGCGCGTTTGATTTTATAAAAAATGCCAAACTTTGTAACAAAGAATTTCATCCTGCTTGCAGCGAGAAGACGGACCGGTTCGGGGCAATCTGCTTGCAGCGAGAAGACGGACCGGTTCGGGGCAATAGCTGATGAAATTCTTTGTCACAAAGTTTGGCATTTTTTATAAAATCAAACGCGCGTCATTGAAACTCACAAGATGTAAATAGCATGGCATTTACATCATACCTTGATGGGGAAAATAGATCTTATATGTTAGAAGTACTAAATAAAAGTTATCGTGAAAATGAGACAGTCGTTCTCGAGAGAAAAGAGCATAAATGCGCATTTAGAGTTTTGGTCCGTTTAAAAATCTGTAAAAAATTGGGGTACTTAAAAGCATCGGGAGGCATCATATATTTCAAATTAGACACGAGGAAGTCAATATTGAGCAAGTTATGGCTGTTTTAAATTCAAATAAAACCGTTAACCCGTACCGGTCCAGCTTTTGACCCGTACCGGTCAATTTTCGTTAGCTGCGTATACCAAGGGTGAAATCTATCCCCCGTGTTCTGTGTTCTTTTCAAGCCACTTGTTTTTTTTACAGATTTCGTGTGTTAATTACTATACCTTTACAGCAACGGTTACAGACTGGAGCAGAGTAGCTGACCATGTCATCTGAGACACAAGAGTAGTCGCAGTCAGTCCAACGGAAACCTTTCCACCTGCATCAAATGATGTGTCCACGTTCGAAGCATCTCGAAAGATGTACTTTCGGGTCAGATGGAACGTGATTGCAACGAGTACAGAGAATAGTCCAAAGCCCAGAATAAGTAGGATGGCATTTCGTAATTCTATTGTAGGTTCTACGCCAGTAATCACACCTGTACCCCTAAAAAATAACCGATATTTTGAGAAAAATAATAGAAAAAATATATAATATTAATGGCGCAGCACATATGTAAGCTTACGCTCATCTACTGAAGCCACACGGCGTATTTTGAATTTGTAGAGACAGATAGCCCTCTCCCAAGCCAGACACAAGGAGGCCGTAGGGGGACCATGTGGCCAGTCTGACGGTGCGGCATGATATGACTGCGGTGTGCCAGGTTGTCTAATTGCTACGTCGATCATTGAAGTGCTACTACAGCATTGACCCATACGACTTGTAAAAATACACTCTACTATACCTTCATTTGGTGTTCATGGGCAACCAATTTGGCTTATTAATTAGTAGTGATTGTGTTATTTGTTTTTATTTGTCTGTTCCTTATCAATGGTTTATCGGATGACTGTTAAATGTTAATAAGGTACTTTCAAAAATATACTAAACAATACAATTAGACAAACAGTATCTTATGCATTTCTAGGAGTTAGATATAGTAGTGAAATAGCGATAATTGTTACGCGGTAAATACGATACAAAAATATGTCATATTCCGCTACGAATATGGCATACTCACTTGCGGTGTATGACAGATTCACCTGCGGTATATGGCATACACACTAACCAATGAGAACGCGATACGGAAGTACGCAATTGTCAATGGCATCGATTGAACGAACAAGTAAAACGTTTTAAATTATTATAATGATTACTGAATCAACAGTACTGTGTATCGAATATATTAACTTAGCAGAAGTATTAGTCACCAATCTCGCGTAATAAACTTTCTCAATCAATCCAGGATTTATATATTAGTACTCGGCGCACTAACTTTATTGGTAATCCAGCGTAGTTTTACATTTAGTGACGATTCTCGCAACCAATCAAATCAAGGCTTTCTGTATCACGTTTTCACCTGCGGTATATGTCATATTCACCTGCGGTATATGGCATATTCCGCAATAACAATAATTGTAGGCGAGCGCAGATGTCATGTCATTAGGGGTAATGCATATCGTTTAGCAAATCGAACGCTCCTTTATTGTGATGCTCACCGTTTAGTATAAAAGGCACGATCCCGGCAGGAAGTCACTGTGTAATGACCTCTGCCTGTTTATCCGACCACATGTTTAATATAGATCGTCACGGATTTATCAAAGGGAGATTTTTATATTGACAAATCAATTTCACATTTTATTGGTGAAATTTCAGGATCTTCTATTTGTGTTTAAAAAATGTTTGTGTGAAAAAATATCTAGATTTACGGTACCAATTGCGTATTTAGCACAACGTATGGACTCGACCCATACAGATATATTGTTTTTATACGGGAAGTTTATCGTAACCCTTATTGAACGTCTTGAAGGGGGATGGGGTTATTGTGAATCCACCAGGCACATCCATCGTCGTAAACAAAAAACTTGAAAAGTGAGGTCGACGTTTTGTATTTGTTTACATCGTTATTTGTATTTATGTTTTACTTTTTATATTATTTTCTCATTCAGCTTGGAGACTAAAATATATAGGTTCTCCTCTTATGAATACGAATTACTCAGATGCGAGTAGGTAGTAACCAGTTTCGCAACCGGGTGGCTGAGTCGGGGGAAATAACATGGCAGGGTATTACAAAATTCCCTTAAACTTGAATATTCATCAGTTTTAGTGGTTCACTTTTCATATTACCCTTTTGTATCTGATAGTTATACAAATTAAAATATGCCCAGTAAAAGAAAATATTATCTGCCTTACACAAGAAAAGATATTTCACTTTTTGTGATTTTACAACATGGGCTCTATGGGGAATCTCCCCGACCTAGAAGTCACATTTTCAAAGGAAATTAAATTTTCAAAGTTGATAAACTCTTTTCCAAACCACATTTCTAGATGCAATTCTACATGTAGATTCTAAATATGACATCAGTTTGATTGAATTTTTGATGACTTTTGATTATATCTACTCGCATATCTAGTCTATTATCATGACACAACACTGCGAAATCAGAGATCGTGCGCTTTCTGCACGTATTATACGAAATTGGAGAAAAAGACACGTCAAGTTTTAAATTGAGAAAACATATAATCATGAAAATATATACTTGTTGCAGACACGGCAACACGTTGAAATCATTCTGATTATCAGACTCTCATCATCCAACACTTGAGAGGAATCCTGATCTATGTCCGAATATTTATTGCCTCAGAAAATGGATTTTTATTCCCCATTGAATACTTTATTCGATAAATTCATTCGAATTCCAAAGAAAACAGTTATTTATATGGCACCTTTTGCTACCTTTTTGTATTGTCACTCTCTCATTGTTTTCACATTTTAATTTTAGATACCTAGAAATCATTATTATACGAAAGTCTACCTATGGATCTTAATCTTAGAAGAGATATCTATACAGACTTTATCCTACAGTTTGTACTCTAAGGAATTCTTCAGGCTATGGCTCCCACAATGAGTTGAGACAAATGAATATGATGGATATAGTCTTTTATCCCATACTTGGACGTGTTATAGGTACATAAAGCCGGTTTGTAAAAACTTATATTTTCATCAGCGGGCAGATATAGCTTTACGTCCCGCTCCGAGCGGGCAGATATAGTATATCTGCCCGCTACGTCATAATCGCCGCTCACATATTTGTTCATAATTTGTAACGTTCGCGTAATGACTGTAAACGACAATGGAGAATACACGGACAATCGGGATCTGTTTGATGGTTTAAAAAAGAGAAGGAGCATCCACTTAATCAATGAGAAATTTGAGAAAATAAATGCGGGAATATTTGAGAGAACAGGAAAATCCGTCCACGGCCAAGAAAACAAAACTGGACATGAATATTCCAGAATATTTCCACGATTGAACAATGTTAACCAAATGACCAAGATTGGTATGGGATAAACATATTATCCTATAGTCGTTTCAGGATATTGGGATTATCCCTTGGCCAATATAATATATTTTCCCTCGGGACCTGCGGCCCTCGGGCAAATATATTATATTGGCCTCTGGATAATCCCAATATCCTGAACCTCATATAGGATAATCTCTATGTACTTTTCTTATTGTCTTACCTTGTTCCATTTAGTTCGGCGTTTCCACTTTTGAATAAACCTCCAAAAAGCACAGTGAATAAAAGTGCGTTATCCTTCATCGTTATCATTCTCAATTAAGATGATATCAACGGAATGTTACAGTCGATGATATAAGGCCAGGACAAAGAAATATTTTGTCATTAGGATTAGTATTAACAATTTATTGTAAAATGTGAGCTTTATTTTTTTCAAAAATGAAGACGAATACCTAAAAATAAAATAATAAGAGCTTTTAAATGAAGTTTCAAGCTTATGTTCAACACTGCCTCATAAAAATAATTATAATTGTTTCTAGAGCACTGGTACTCCACTCAATTACGCTGGTAAAGGTTACCTAAACGGATCGTTTCGGTAGCAAAATGGTACGATTTTTCTATTTTCCTTTTCCTTATTTCACGCGTTGTAGTCGGAATTCCGCTGAAATTGATCGGTCATATTGTCAATTCATGACACCTCATTTTCTTACTTGGAAGGGTACTACGAACAAGTTTAGTAGTTCGATTACCCGAAGTTGTTGCTTTAAGTATTGCTAAGTAATGGGTTGAAATTAGACGTAACATTTATGATAAAGATAGAGACTAAGATATCAAAAATACATAATTTTCCTTTTCCTAATGACGTCTTTTGTTAAGGTTCGGAGTAGGGTTGAAGTCAAAATATCAAAAGCAAAGAGAAATAAAATATTGTTTTTCTTTTCGATTGAAATATTTAATAGAAAGGGTCCATACGTTATATATACTTATACTTATAGAAATGTATATTTCATCGATCAATTCTAATATTTTTTTTCACCAAGAATAAATTATGCTCACTTCCAAATTTCTTGTTTATAAAGTGGATTGAATAGTTATATGACTTTATGTCAAATATAATATAATGATTCTCATCCAATAACTATGTCTAAACGAGATAAGTATTCACTTACTTATATATAAACAACATTTTTTAAGGATGGTTCCGTTGGAATTGATATAGAGGTGTGCGTAGTGCACACCCGTTATAGTTATAAACATACGGGATTTTTTTCTACAAAGAAATCCCCTCGATAAACATTATTTCAGCTGATATTCCTTTCGAAACATGGTGGATCTTAAAAATATAAAAGTGGATTTCCCCTTTTTGAAGCTTTGAACTTAATTTACACTTCTTAATGCTGAAATTGATAGTTTATCCATACATTTTAATAAAATAGGTATGTCAAAGAAGATGTTAAGCCAAATGTTGCCTTAATAGCTCAGAAAATGTTAAAATTTTCCCATTTTCTCTCTACAGGCCTCGTTGCCCCCTGAAACACGCACTCTTATATCCCATAGTGCAATATGCTTATACATGTAACTATTCACATTGAAATCAATTCTGCAAAGACCTTATTGTGAGGCAGTCTCGGAGTGCTATAAAAAGACGCTATAGGTACATTTTGTTGTGACATTTTTGAAAGGCCCCCTAAACATTTTGAAATATACAAACAGAAACAAAAGAAAACAATATAGACAGTCAGAGGTTATGTTATATGATACCACAACAACTGAGAATTAGACCGGAGTGTTCTCCGATGGGCCTTCTTCAAGATGAAGCTATATTTCCAGACAATGGCATGGGTATTCGCTAGTGTTGTTGCTTTTATACTATCTATGCAGCACATTCGAACAGTTGAAGGGGCTTTACAGAGTGTGGATGAGGGTAAGTAAGAATTACCTAAATGCGTCTGCGCAAATATCCTACAATATCTCTCTGGAGATCAACTGGAAACTAGAACAGGTCTGATATTTCATGATTAATATTTTGCCTTCAGGAGAATATCTGGTAGCTACATTTAAGTAGATGATAGCAAGTTAAATATAGCATGTATCAAATCAGGACAGATTTTGGGATGATGATACATAGTCCCAGTGGTTCCTCAAGGAGAGTCAACTTTGTTATTTTGTGTTGTTGAATATTAAAACGGGTACGGTGGTGTTTATATATCATTTCGTATTAGTGGTTATGTTTACATTAATACGGAATAAAACATAACATACCATCTGAAAAATGGTGACCTTGCTATGGCGGATCCGCCCCCCCCCCCAAGGTTGGCCTAGAAAAAAGCCCCAAAAAGTTTTAGGCCAAAAAAGTGAGCCTTTTGGTCATTATTGGGCCTTCTAAGGCCTTATTTTTTCAATTTTAGGCCAAATTTTGAAGAAAATGGGCCTCAAATTTTCAAAATTTGGGCCCACTTTTCGGTTTTAGGGGCCCAAGGGCCGTAGGTTTTTTTCTGACCTCAAATTTGGGCCCCCCCCTGTTGGTTCCTGGATCCGCCGCAGCCTTGTGCTATAAAAGTTGAGATTTTGTTTCACAGCGAGTGTAATATCCTTACTCGGTTTGTTTATCTCGTGGTATGAGGAAAGTAGTTCTATTAGAAACCTGTCTGGGGACTTCAATAGTATTATGCAGCATCATATTTGGATAGAATAGTCTCATTTGCTGACATATAATGCCCAGAACAAGTGGGAAACATGTGATCATAACAGTGAACGGCGGTAAAATATTTGGGATTATTTTCTGCGGATGGATGACATTGGAAGTGGTGAATTGGTCAATGTACATAAATATGATGACGTTTTGGTACTCGTATTATGTTAGAGAGCAGAACTTTTGATTTTCGTGGAATAGTTTGTTGAACTTTTTTTGACATGGAGGTGAGATGCTTTGCTGTATTTCTCTGAAATTCTTTGAAAATCGATGGGCTGCGATTTGAGAAATTCTAATTCGAACTTTGTCAATTTAACATGCATCTCAATGGTACAGAAAGTAAGGAGAGTTCTACCAGCAAGTTCGGATAGCGATATTGTCGAGCACATGCTTAAGGGAACTAATTAGATACTTTCTATAGACACCAAATACACCTCTGACGATAGAAGAATGAAAAAGCTTCAGGATCCCAACCTCCTTTAATTTGTTTACATTCTCAAAAATGTGAAAATTAGAAAAATTATCATTTCTGAAACTCCAATTATCAAAACCGGTGTAAAAGGGTAGGAGGTCCTATCAAATTATGGTCCTACTTTCCATTAATTTATATTGTGACCTAAATACAACTCTTTCCCTTATTATCGTATCCACAATCAGGGCCAGTAAGGGCCATTAAGAAAGGGGACCATAATCCCCAGGGGACCATAATTTCTTTTACATCGGCTTTTCATTCTTCTATCGTCAGAGGTTTATTTGGTGTCGATAGAAAGTAGAATCAACTCCCTTGAGCATTTTCTATGCAGTATTGCCCTCCGAACTTGCTATGAAACAAAATCCCCATTCCCAAAGGACAAGGTCACCATTTTTCATAAATGGTATGTTTAAATTCCGTATTAATGTACACAAAACCCGCTGTCCTCGTTTCCAGTTGATCCCCAGTTTATATAAATTAGGGTCGTTCAAAAGGTTTTGCAAGAAAGCTTCTGAAGAGAAGATATTTTTAACATGAGAAAATTTGAGCCATATGGACCATATGACCTCATTAAGTTGAAATGATCTTGTTATTGTTCAGGCTTAATGTTTTTCTTTCAACTTTTTGTTCTGGAAGCTTGAATATTACCATTTTACTCGTAATTTCCATCTTTCAACGAAATACTAACCTTATAGAAATATTTTTTCCAAATTGTTCCACGCCAGGCAACGGAATATCGAGTTTGAATAATGGCTGCTAATCCTCCTTGCCATTGCCATTTCGCCTGTTTGAGGTATACTGTTATAACCCATTGTGGGATCCACAGCCTTTACTATCCTTTTGGAATAGTTCAGACTGTGGGATACTGACCTCTCAAAAGCGTTAGGTAAAGAGGGGCTCTGATAAATCAGAATGGTCATAACCCATTATATACTAAACTTGTCATTTGCAGATCTCATCAATAACTTGACGGCCAATCACAACACTCTAGTGAGACCGGTGAAGTTTACAAATGACACGGTTACTGTGACCATCGGAATGGCCCTGATCCAGATACTGGATATTGTAAGTCAAATGCTAGTCCATGATATGCAATTTCCAGGACGTCTGATAAACACTGGAGATCAACTGGAAACGAATTTTTTCGGTAATCGTTTTTAGATACGGAAAGTCATCACCGGGAGTCAATTATCAATAAAAAGGGACTTATTGCTCTTCCTTGACTATATTAGGCTATTGCTAAAATGATTTTTCCCGTGTAAGATATCATTGTGTTGCTTATTAAACAACAACTAAGACCTGTCCAAATTCATAAATATTTGAAAAATAAGTGTCATTATCTTCAAAAAATGAAATTGTTTGCAATAATCTACCTCAACCCTCGATGTTTTTTAGGTCATTGCATATTGTCCTCGCGATCGTGATTTGATCCTCATTTCTCTCGGAATATCAATAACTTATTTCAGTAAGAATCTTCCACGAATATAATATCTCCCTGTTAAGCTAAAGGAATCTGAATACATCTGTCTGTAGTACTGTAAGTCGTTAACTTTCAAGACTAATAAAAGGATTCAAAACGGACGAAAAATACTAATTGTAGAACAGTAAACTGGAAACTGGACTGAATACGGGATTTTGACTATTTCAGGATTAATACACACTTTGAACGAATATGGAATTTGAACTAATACGGATTGAATATATAAATATTCATCATGTTCAGTGTGTAAAAAATTAGTTTTCCATTACAGGACGAAGCTGCAAGCATTATACGAGCAAGCGTATTGCCAAGATTTGTAAGTAACTGTTTTTTTGTTAAAAACAATTACTTTTGTTCTAGATTGCTAACAGCTACATCAAAGTAATGATACTCTAGAAGTGATTTTCCTGGAGGTAATGCATTCGCCTAACATATGTACCTGTTTAAATCCCCAGGAAATGGCCAAAATCAAACATATGACTGTCCAAAATCTGTTGCGATAACTTCCCTCCTCCTTTTAGTTGGCTTACGAAAAAGACCGACCACCGATCACCGACCAGTTACGTTCCACAATTGGGTCTACATGGTCAGTGGTCGGTGGGCTCTCTTCTCACAGATGAATGGAAACAATTTGAGAAAATAAATTCCTGTCGTAAATATGCACATTT